AAATTTTAAATGGATAGACCCACAGCATGCTTGCAGTGAAAATCAACATTTTGTATATTAGCTACTCAAAATGGTTCTTACTGTGCATCATCTGTACAATATCTACTCATGTCTAATCTAACAGTAGTGACTCCCAGCAGATTCATCCAGTGAGGCTCAAGGACAATAATCATGATGGAGAAATGACAGACATGTTGATTAAGAGTGTATTTGACTGATGCTTTTGTATTTTCTCTGTAATCTTGAAACTTTTGTGCTCATTAAACTGTATTTTCAAGCGTGAGATGGTCATTTTCAATGATGTGTTGTAACCGTCTTGATTCAAAAGTTGTATTAGACATGCACATATTAGATATATGTGCATTGTTCACAATGTAAACTAACTGCATGCCCTGGTGACTTACTGGCCTAAAATAAATATACGATTCACTTGATTCAAATCCATCTGTGTCTTCCAAGTTTCAAAATGTAGCTGATATAATAGTAAAGTAATAATAAAATAAAAAAGTAATAGTTAATTTCTACACGTCCTGATAATGGCAAAAGACCAAAAATGCAGCCAGTGTGAGAGACCAATAACCTGCATTAAAACAAACAAAAACATCCAGTCTCAAACAAAAAGCAGACACGGATTATGTGCAAATATTTCAATCTACTCTAGTAAAGTCATGAGCTGTGACACATACATATTTTTGGACACAGAAATAATCTCAAGTTTTTATATAATGACTACAGATCATCTTTAAACAATAAAAACTTAAATTAAGAAAACAACAATCATTCAAGAAAACACCAAATTCAAAAACATGTGCACAATGTGTGAAATTCATATGTGATCATTTGGTACAGGAGAGACTACTGCAGTGTCACAGTTCGACACCCAAGGCAGACACGCCCATATTCAAAGTTTCCATTACAAGCCTGCTCATAAATGGCCAATAATCAGCTGTTAACAGACACGTGACTGCCAAACTACCAGATACTGAAATGTTTTATCTTTAAAAACAGAAGGAAGTCAAATGAACACAGTTGTTTTTCAACTTCCTCTTCACAACTGTCAAAGCTCCTCTGGATTTATTTACAAGGAAAGCGAAACCTAAAAGAAGTTAAAACTGCTCTCACACAACAAATAGATCAGACTGAGAGAAGCATACCGACACAGGTAAGTTACCTCATTTTCTAAATTCCTTCCTCGACTGGTGAGGAATTTACCCACGTCTCTAATGCAGAATCTATTCCACAGGTGACAAAATATTCCATACACAACAAAGTGGATTTGACATCGAGTCTGTTACAGTGCACTACGTATGCCTTTTGACTAATTACAAGCATACATACTGTCATTCAATATGATCTGCAAGTCTGCAGGATCAGTATTAAAGCTTTGAATTTTAATTTGTGTAACTTCTTGACACAGTGATCGGGAGTGTCATGAAACCAGTGCCATGGCCAATAAAAAGTGAAATACAATTCATTAAGATTAGCAACTGGCTTTATCTAATACAACATGAAAACATTTTCAGAATCTCTCAAACACAATCTGCTTTGTTTAATTACTCTAAGCAGACCGTTCAGTGATCCCGCCCTCTTGTTTATCTGCAGCTGACAGGAGGCATCAGTGGACAAGTCAAACAAGTTTTGATTATAAATGAAGAGTTACTAGTGTGACACTCCCCTATCATTACCTCCTCTCAGGTCCTGTTCAGGAAGTTAAGACTGTTTGGGAAAACAAGAGAATTTCTGAATTTAAGTTAAAAACAAAATCTCTTTATTTAAGAAATAAAGAGACATTTTTAGAAATGATTTTGTAACTTTATAACATTTGTTGTTCTCTGGGTTAACACCTCCCCCTTAATAAAACTTTAATTTACTTTTCCTGGTGAAAATACCATATACCAGGAAAAGTAAATAAAACCCGTTTCAGTGTTTGTACGACCAAATGATTAACGCTTAATTACAGACTAGGAAAGAAAAATTAAAGTCCTTTCTTAAATGGTAGCATGGTGATAAAAATATGTAATCATAACTATTATATGCATCACAGGTCACACAAAAAGACAAAAAAAAAAACAAAAAACCTTGTAAGTTCGAAAAATGCATGGTTTCACTACCTACTTAAATCTCTCTACAGGCTGATGAAGATGTCAGGAAAGATCATCTGCTGCTGTGTGGCTCTTCTGATCTTTACATCAGTTTCAGCTGTAAAACGAATGCTCAATTCAATCAGTGAGCTACAGTCAGTCAGATTTGGCCAAGCGGTACCTATGGAGAGCCAAGAATTGCTCCGCTGGTTTGCCAACAAAATTGAAATTTATACAAATGGTGTCATACGACTGAACTTTGACCCACACTGTGATTATGGCTCACATCATTACGGCAACTTTGAGGGGTTGCTAGATGAATTGCCAAGGGGGTACAGATACTACACTCTTGGCAATGTCAATCAACAGACATCACTCCAGCTTCCATCTCATAGGAGAAACAGGGCCCGAATCATAATTAGAGTCTGGGAGCAGTCACAGACAGTAGACCAAGTCTATATTACACAGCATTATCAGACATTTGACTACCAAAGGTCAGAGTACGATCCAGAACAAACGTACCTGATCTCTACTAACCTCCTAAGAGAGATCAGAAGGGCTCGTATGGACAACTCACCGATACATCGTGTAAACGCGTCCCAGTCATGGGACACTGGAAACAGAGAGGCTGCAACAAGACGAAATGGACAACCTAATGGTTGGAATGATTGGTTGCTCGCTTTGGTTGTTTTAGTCTTCATTTT